TTTAAACTTAAAGTTAATAAATAGTTTCACATAAGACTGTAAAATAAGATTTATTATAAAATGGAAGAATGCAACAGGATGCTACAATATAATCTTATCAGTACACAAGTTATGTAGGATATGTTAAATGTTTGAAAAGCAGATCACACTCTCAGTAATATGATTTATAAGAGAATAAGGTGGTAAAGACTTTGCTATGAGGAATAATTTAATCAAATATACAAAATCTTTATAATGGCAGTCCCTTTAAAGTAAAGTGTGTTATTTTCAAATCTGAACAAGTCCATCATGTAAGGAAGCCCACTAATTTCCTCTTTAATGTTCTTTCAGTGTGGTGCTGTGGTGAATACCTGACAACAGCTGTTTGATGATCACCTTGTGAACACATTTGAAGCTATTCGTTCGTAGTATGGTTTGAACAATAATCCAACTGTGGGACAGTTTGTAGATGCCCTGAAGACTAACATCATCAGTGCACTTGCTATCAGAGGTCTGTGTAGAACTAGTTGTCAGAAGATGATCAGAGTTCATTCTGCCCTGTATCTGAAAATAATTATATTTCAGTCAAGAACTGTGTGGGGAATTCTTTTCTGACTCAGATGGCTCTTGTTTATGTGTGTGGGTAAGAGTGAAGTGGCATTACTTTATAATTGACTTGCAATCTTCAGGTTACCTGATTCAGCATGAAACACCGAGGAGCAGAATCAATGTCAGGTTATATTTTGTAATTAAATTTATTAACTACTTCCTAGGTAGGAAGTTTTACTTATTATACATGTAAATATTATATGTCTACATATTATATTCATCTGATTTGTTGTTATGGGTATATCCCTTCAGTCATTGCATTATGTTTGCCATATTATGTTCAGAATTGAACTTATGAACGTATCACAACCCTATGGGCCTTCACGGCCTGTTACAGGGATAGCTTTACTTTACTTACTTTACTTTTACATATACAGGGATTGAGGTGGGGCAGGATGCGGCGGGATGGCATCCCCGTTCTTTTCTAAATGGTTTGAAGGCATCCTGTTACTTCTTTGGCAGTAAATGCAATGTACAATACCTTTTTTGTTGTTTATGTTGTTGTTATTATCTGTTTCATGGTTGTACAGGCTACTCCCCTGCATCGTCTAACTAAATTTTGCTTTCGTGTGGTACTGTTTGAAGCACCCGAGAATGCACAGTCCCATATCTCATTTCTCGCACTTCGTCTGAACACGTTTCCTCTTTCCACGTGCAGAACCACCCCGGTTCTATTTTCATTCCACTTCAAGCACTGTATATATATCAGACTTTCAAGGTTCGTTATATTTGTTCAGTTAATTTATTATTTTGGCCACATTATTGTGTTTAGTATAGAATTTGGAAACATGAGCATGTTTCAGATCATGATTTATATCATGATATAAATTTTTTATTAGACTTGAGAAATGTGCATCAAGTAAGTTCATTAATGCAAACCTATAACTTGTTTTATATTGTGGACTTCCCAACTAGGCTTGTAAAAGAATCCTGCACGGCCATTGATAATATTTTTTTGCACTATAGTAGAGTAAATACATATCATGTGCACTCTGTAAAAAATGCTCTATCAGATCATGATGCGCAATATCAACTGATAAATAATGTGTGTGGAACTCAGCGGAATAAGAATACACCTGTTAAAAAGAGGTTAATAACTAAGACTGGAGTCATGATGTTTATGGAGGCACTACAAAATGAAACATGGGATATGACCTTTAGTAGCGTGGAGGTAGATGCAAGTTTTAATGCATTCTTAAACACATTTATAGTCATTTTTGAATCATGCTTCCCCATGCAATTTGTGATGGATATGGGGCATAAAAATCAGTGGATAACTTGTGGAACAAAAGTGTCATGTAGATGTAAAAGATACCTCTACATAATAAGTAGAGTAACTCATCATATTAAAATAAGAGAATATTACTCCTGTTACTGTTCCATATTAAGAAGAGTCATTAGAAAAGCTAAAGAGATGTACTACAATGAAATGTTAATGAAATCCACAAATAAATCTGAAATGTCTTGGAAAATTACAAATAATGAAATTGGTTGTGTAGCTAAAAGAAAAGCTGCTCCGGCAGAGTTCAAAAATGGTGAAATCAAAATTGAAATGAATAAAGCAGCTGTGTGTGTGCGTGCATGTGATGTTTGTCAGAGTTTTGCAATTATTTTATTGCTTTTCATATATTATTAAATGCATCTTAATCTTGTTAACAAAAGTGTGTATCAGATTCTCAAGTTTCATTATTCTACTGAAATTAATAACCAATGGAAACCTCAGTATTATTACTCCCTATACGTCATTTATAACACATTAATGTAACTGAAAAGCTATGTTTTGTGTAGCTTTCAAGTATAAGTTGTAAGCAAAGTTATGAAGTTGAACAAAAGTATCTCTGATGGAAACAGAATTTTCTTTCAAGTTTACCCACCATCAGCTTTCCTATGCACAAGTATTCTATATATGTTATAGTTCAAATATCCATTGCATTTCAGTAAGGGGGTGTTGAATTGATGTAAATGAAATGTTCTTATTTTACAGGCACTGGTGAGAAACTTTCTCCCGATAAATAATGTTGCAACCTGATATCTTGTACTGCAGAGGTTCTTACTCTGTTGTGTTTTCTGTTTTCGAACTGAGTTTGATATCATTTAACTCATTCCCCTCCAGATGGTTTTGAGTGAACAGAGTAAGAACCTCTGCAGTACAAGATATCAGGTTGCAACATTATTTATCTGCAGAAAGTTTCCCACCAGTGCCTGTAAAATATGGACATTTCATTTACATCGATTATTAATTCTAGCTATACGTGTGAACCAGTGATTTTTTGGGAGGGAGCAGTAAAAAAAATGCTGGTGCTATAATAGCATACTTTCTTACCGACCGAGCCCTCGGCACTGGCGGCAGCCATTTTTTAATCAAGAGTGTGTCCCCCGGCCACCGCGGCAGCAGTGATATTCATGACGTCGCGCTGGCTGTGTTGCCCGCCAATAGCATTGAGTTGCATTCCCCTGCAGCTGACAGGCCGTTATTGACATTTGACTTCACACACCCGTACACGCTTAACTGTAACATCATTAGTGGGTTCCGTGGTAACATGCCAACGTGCTCCCACCTGTGCCCCATTTTCTACAAACAGAACTTACTTCTGTAAAATTACAAGTTACAAAATTAATATTAAGCTGCACATTTCTTCTCAAAAGACCAAGATATTCACACCGAACATTTTTACATGGCCACAAAAGTGATAACAGCTGACTTGCAGCCAACTCCTGTACAGACAACACATCAAGATGCGAATTTGAAGCGTAATTAGTGGGCACCGTGGCGCCA